CGACACAAGATCTGGCAGGCGCTTCGCCTGCCGTCTGTACCCTTCCCATGGTCCCTTGCGGTTCATCACCAGTCACTCGTTTCGCGCTCGCCTCTGCCATGCGAAAAACGAAGCGCCTGAGGAGGAGGCTGTTCCCGCTACGTTTCTTCATGAGGATGATCAGGTAAACCAAGAACGATGTGTAACTCGAACTCTAATTCTACACCGACTACACTCGCACCTATAGTTGTACACCTGCAAATTCAACAAATCTGAACAAATTCAGCCTGCAGTCACCGCACTTGCATGAGGGCTGGTGAAAATAAGGTAATTTTGTGTCCACCCCCTTTCTCTATGGCTATGGGCACTCGTTCATATTCAAACTCCCAGTGACGTGTTGGTGGGTGGGGGATGGGATAGGGTGAGTGTTAAAATTTGAAATGAGCGGTTTACATTTGTGGTACCCACACTTTTTTCAAAGAGATATCTCTTGATGGAACTTTAAAAAATTGCTTAATCCTGTATGCAAAACAAAATGAATACTGGGTCATTAAACGAGGTCTTTGTCTTAAAAAGGGTAGCAAAATGAACCTATTTCGCCTACACTAACCAGATAGACACCGACACAAGATTAAATACAGGGGCCTGTAGGTCAGCAAAAACCTCAAAGCTAGTTTGTTACAAAATTGCCATTAGATTACAAGACCACACTTAATTACAAAACAACCTCTGGTAAAAAACAAACCTTGAACGAAGCTAAGTACAACACTGCCAGATAAGAAAACCCAAAACCACTTTGTGGAAAAAAGGGAATGCACATCCCCACCTGCTGAAATCAGCTGCGGTGCCGACAACTCAGGAGCAGAGGTACGCAAAAAACTACCTTATTGGAACTGAATTCCTCGCGTAGTTAATTTTGCAATTTTGACAAGAGAGTATTTTGCAGAATTTTATTTTTATGATTTTAACAGGCAAATGTGAAAAAAGGACAATAAAATTTGCGACTTAACCATTCTCAACTTCATTTTATTTTTTCAAAAGTCTAAACCTTTAAAAACTTTTAGATAAACTGCAATAAATAATGCGTGAAATCTTTGCAAACTAAAGTTATTTCAAAAGTGAAGATACAAAAAGGAGCTTACCAGTAAAACTAGTGAGCAATTTGTCTTTGTCCATGCATTTCCTTTACACGTCAATTGTTGCTATTACAAGTTAATTCTTTTTTTAAATTTTCTATATGGGTATAAAATTTCTCATGCTTAAAAATCATGATTATTTATTTTCGCGATTTTTCTACAATCTCGAAAGACACGAAATTAATTACCAATGTAGCTTCCAAATGCCTGCAAACAAAATTATATAACAAAACTGGAAAATAAAAAGTTAGGAGCTCAAATGAATGCTGACCTAGACTGATCCAAATTTGCAAATATGTACTATGAAACATGTCTCAAAAAACTACCCACAATTTCTCCTAGCCAAGCCATTCCTCTGGTCTGTGCCGGCAACTGAAAATAGCTATTTCTGTCTGTTCTGTTATATACTACACTGTCGTAAATACCATTTTTTCGCTTAAACAGGGTCAGGGTTTGAAGACCTCAGTGGCACAACTATACCAAAACTCCCCTTTAGTGCACCCACCATAACCTGATCACATGAAAAAAGGCCAAAATCTGGAATTACGTATTTCTGATTGGTCCACACACAAAACATCTAGCACAGTTCTGTTCTGATTGGCTTAGAGGTTTTATGTTTTATAGGATTTTGACACTTGCAATTAAATGGTGTTTGAATAAGATGTATCTGATTCATTTAGATAACATACTCCCCCAGGTTTAAAGGTGATGTTACATGNTGTTTTATAGGATTTTGACACTTGCAATTAAATGGTGTTTGAATAAGATGTATCTGATTCATTTAGATAACATACTCCCCCAGGTTTAAAGGTGATGTTACATGCCTGGATACATAGACTGATCTGCAAAAGTGATTTTTAGCACAACAAAGCATTGCAATGTTAAAACAGTGTTGCAACCATTTGAAACAATGTTGCAACACTGTTTGTGCTCAAAATTGTCTTCTCGAATTGCCCTGTGTAACATCACCTTAAGTTTGTATTTTCATTTTTGTGGCTGATAATACGGTCAAACCACCCATAAGTGACCACTCAAAATGCTAAGAGTTGGTTTTCACTTATCAGAGGTGGTCGTTTATGAGACTCAAACTGCAGGAGGTCTTTTATGAGGAGAAATCTGGAAACATCAGATCTAGGTTTTGGAGAGAATGTGTTGGAAACATTTTTAGGTAACAATAATATTATATGTAAATCCATGTTGTTTCTAAAAGTTTGTCTACTATGCTGAGTAACATAGTAGATGTTGGGAACACCAAAAATAGAACTAAATTACATCAGGTGGTCGCTGCTCAAGAAGAGGTTTAAAAACAATGGAAAATCGTAAAACCCTCATGCTAAACAATGGCTGCTGCCGTTTATGGAGGCAGTCATTTACAAGAGTTTCCAACCATAAGGCTTTGACAGGGTAAGGTGTGGTGGTTTAGATGTTAAAACTGTGGTCACTTTATTAATATGGGAGGTGGTCGCTTAAATGAGACATGGTCGCACATGGAGGTTCAACTGTAATATTGAAATAAAACTCTAGATGATATTACCTATCACAGAAATCTTGTGTTACTAGTTTTCTAAAGGAATGATAACTGAATATAGCCATCATTATTGTTTTGAGGACAGGTTGGCCACATATTAATATATTTAAGTAGGGGGTGGAAGGTGGCCTGTGGAAAAAAAATATATATATCAGGCATTCTTTTTCTTCCTCTATTCTCAAAGAAAGAGCCCAGCTATCATAGGTTAACATGCAGGTATTAAATATCACATTCGCCTTCCTGCCTTGCCCCCCCAACCCGCCCAACTCCACCACTTTCTTAGGGAAATTTAATATATCTTCATACATCCATTATCAACCATAAAGTTGGATAAACTATAAACAGAAATAGCAACAAGTGAGTAGGTGCAATGTACTTTTGGTTACAATCAATTTGATTGCTTTATTTTCAGTGCATAGCCATTGAGGACATTAATCCACAAGCCCCAGTTCATTTCCTGGTTATACCAAAGAAAGAAATACGAAAGATAACTGATGCTACAGATGAGGATGAACAAGTATGTTTACCATTTTGTTTCTTTTTAGTACATTTACCCCTTGATTTTTATATGACTGCTGTGTTTAAAAATTAAATAAGGTATTGCTGTTATTGCAAGTTAAACTGACTGGATGGGTCAATTATTTAATACCCTCAGAGAGCTGTTATCCCAACCAGGAATTTGGGTGGGTGTGTGCCATGGGCACCCTGAATCCCTTAGCCTATTATTATAGGATCAAACCTTTAAAAAGTTGACACTCATGAGACCAGACTAACGGCATTCGTGTTCCCTGTGAGGGTGTCTAACAGCGGGTATATCACACTATTGACTTGACACCTACCTCTATCCTGCCTCCTTTATAGTTTCATCCCGGGGTGGGTACTCCCCAGTAGTAGGCTAATGGTTATGTGTCGCTGGAAAGGGTTGCATTTTCACCAGAAAACTCCATACAAACCCTTCTAATTTTTTTTTAGGTCGACCCCAAAAAAATTTAGAAGGGTTTGTATGGAGTTTTGTAAACATAACTGGGCTACGATCTCAGAGACAATTTGCCCCCAAATGCTCATTTTTGGCAAGTAGGCCTCTTGGACATTGTTCTTTCAGAATATCCTGACAAATCCCATAATTTCACAAATTTCATTTTTATCACGTCACACTTTAGAACTCTATTGCGAAAACTACTTTTTTCCCAAAGTGACTAAGATGGGGTCTATAATATGGCCATAGAATAGACTATAATGGGGTAGGGATTTTGAGAGGCCAGCAGCACATACCTAGCAAAAATTAATATTAACCCAAGTACCCCCCTCCCCTCCCCAGGAGTTTCATAGACATAATAGACCTCCCTACAGACAGCTCTGATACCTGCACTCTGCCCAAAGATTTGAGACTTTTAAAGGAAAAGTGGAATAGCAGATCAGGCTAGAAATGGGGAGTTCTGGATCCTGTTAACCCGTCCTCTCACTTTCAACTCCTTTTTTCACCCAGTCGCGTTGAGAGAGAAATCCTTATAATGAAAATGTATTCAGGGCTGTCATAAATTTTTAGAGCAGCCATGGCAAATAAAGATTCACCCGTAACATCTCCCCAAAACTTTAAAGTGCCACCTTTAGCTTTCCACATTGATCACCCATAAAATCAAGTGAGCTCAGCAGTAACTGGTGTTGCAGGTTACAGCCTTTAATGACAGCTTTGTGTACATGTATATGTTTTTTTTTTCAGCTTCTTGGTCACTGTATGATTATTGCGAAGAAAGTAGCAGCCCAGAAGGGTATTGACCAGGAAGGCTATCGTGTGGTAATCAATAATGGTCAGCATGGCTGTCAGTCTGTCTATCACATCCTTTTACACGTTTTAGGAGGGCGGAAGCTCAAGTTCCCTCCAGGATGACTAGGTAATATCTAATTTTAACATCTTGATATCCACATTATCCTGTTCTTGATTAGGCTCGATTACCAGCTGCTGTTCGGGAAAATGAGCCCGCCGATCAAAGACCGGACCCGGGAGACGGCGGAAATCAAGCCTAGTTCTTGATATGTTGTTCCAGAAAATAGTCCCTTTGAAAACGTTTGCTTACGTGTATAAACTCCCCAATTACAATAACACCTCTTCAGTTGTAGGCCCGTATTTTACCTGAAAACAAAGGAAATTAAGACGGAATAGATCAGGAAAATGAGTAATTTTAATTCTTAGTGGACAAAAACCTTGTACGAGAATAATTTAAAGAATATTGCATTCTTTTTTACACTTTTCAAGGCCTAAAGATGTGATTAGTCATATGTATTGACACCAAAGAAAATTTCTCATGGGAGTCCGAAAAAATGAATGTCAAATTTCACAAGAATTATGAAATTTGACATTCATTTTTCACAAGAATTATGAAAACACAGGTAAACTTCTGAAAATTTCATGTTTAAGATTTTGTGAAATTTGACATTTTTGTGAAATTTTCTGTGGTGTTATTACAGATAACTAATAACATCTTCAGCCCTTTAAAAGTGCAAAAAATAATGCAATATGCTCTTAATTATTCTGGTACAAGGTTTTTGTCCACTGAAAATTAAAATATTATTACCCAGTTCCCTGGTGGATTCCGTCTTTAGTTAATACAACTGATTATAAGCCCCCCTCCCCCCCCCACCCCTTTACTCCAACTGTATTGACAGAGGTGAAAACGCGTTATCATGATGTTTTGAAGCTTAATTAACAAGCCAGTCAATGCAGTACTTATTTTGATCTGCACTACTATAGCTTGTTGTAAAGCGCTTTTTCTATTTCTGTTTTAAGCCCTCTGTTTATAAACTCTCCTAAAATCCCTTAAGATGATGTGTAAGCCCAGGGCTTGTAAGCGGCAATTTATGGTAATTACCCATACTCTTCAACAGACGAGATGCAACGAGACTGCTGACTGGTGGCCATTTTCGACGCCTGGGATGTCAACATTCTTGTTGCTTAAGATTGCAATGAAGAAATGCCTTTGGGACCCGAGCTAAATGTCTTTCTTGTCCACTGTGACTGACTTTTAAGAGACAAGGTTTGAAATCAGGTAATAAGCAATTGTGAAAGGAGAAATATGATGAAAAACAGCATAGTTAATTGATTGGAATGGTTATGAAACCCGTCAGACTCCTTTGTTATATGTTTTTGTTGACCTGAAAGTGCACAACGTTCAAAAGAATTCCTATCATTTTGATTGTATTGACCAATAAAAACGTTGCATTAATTTATTCCGTAACAATTTGCCAACAGAAAACAAAGGATTGTGCACTTTCAGGGTGCTTCCAACATAAACTACAGCACTGTTGTTTTTTTATCATTGATGTTTGCCGCTTTTCATAACCAGTCTCCTCTAATAACTATGAAAACAGTAAAGAATTATTATTTAATTTTTCTAATTCAAACTCTATGGTCAGGCTATTTTTACTCCATGTAGTTTACAGACTTAAAAGTTGGGAGCTTAAGCAACGACAACGGCGACGACAACGAGAGCGCTAAAAAAGCAATTGGTCAAGGGTCTGTTTACATGGAGGTGGGGGACCCTTGTTAGGTGAAATAACCCACTAAGGTGAGGTTACCCGTCTGTGCATATAATCTCTCATTTTCAAATGAGAGTAGAAGCTAGCATTAACTGTTACAACATGTCAGTTTTTGGGGGGGATGGCGGGGTTGTTAACGCGGGTTATTTTTTTCCTGTTTGACTTTTCTTTTAGCTTGGGAAAATTTATGGCGAAATGTGGCCAAATATTTATCTCATCTCAACTTTCGCATAATATCAAATTTGCAATGTACATAACTCAGACTGTATTCTTCGACATGTAGTGGCAAAGTCTTTCAAAAAGGTACAACGTCTGAACAAGAGTTACATACAGTTTTATGAAAAATTGAAATTTACAATATAAACACCAAATAAATACCTCAAGTAACCCAGGCTCTTTGATAGTACCAAAGTATCAATCCAGTTAAATAACAGTGTTTGTATGGGGTAAAAATACGAACTTAAAATTTGTAGGAAATACCAAATAAAAAGTCAATGAAACTTACTCTGCAGTCAGTTGTTGTTTTCCTTAATACCCACACGAAATTTCGTGATAATTTGCTCAAATTCCCCCTCTATGCAATATAATAAGCAAGGTGGGAGGCACGAGATGACATCTAAGTCCCCATCAGCAGTGGCGGATCCAGGGGAGAGGCCCGGGGGGCCCTGGCCCCCCTTATTTTTCGACCAAAATGAGGCTCGAAGGGCCGAAAAAATTTTTTTGGGAGAACTCGCCCGCCCCCGCCCCCTCTTATCTCAGGGTCTGGATGACCGCCCCCCTCCCTTATCTGAAGGTCTGGATCTGCCACTGATCGGTCTCATTCCAACACCATGTTTTCCACGAAATACGCTGAACTCCAACGGTCAATAAACACGCTAGACTCGTACTAATAGGACTGCCCCAGATATGGAAATTAACGAAGCTTTCTCAGGTAGAAAAACGAATCCAGCAGACTTCGTGAAACTCGCAGAAAGTAATGAAAAAACTGTAGACCACTATACAAAATCAACCCCACCCTGGGTTTCCTGGGTGACTTACTGGATATCACTGGCCTAAAGTAAACCTCCCCCGGTGGTAACATTTGTGTCGAGGGCAATCGCGAGTCGCCAAAGCAAAACCCGTGCACAAGCCGAAATAAAGAAAAAAATAAACGTATAACAGCTTATGGCTGCCATTTTGTAATTTTTAAACTCTCGAGAAAGTCCAACGTTTGTCTTTTTTTTAAAAAATAGGAAGCTTAATTGACCACCGCGGCAGGGACAAAAAGAACAACTGCAACAATAGGACAATTGCACGATGACGATATTTGACTACAACTACCAGAATTCATTTCGTTTTTGCTTTGTTATTTAAATTTGTCAACCCCGCTGAGGATTAAAGAACAATAGCCTTAATTTGCACAAGAAAACAACAAACTCAAGGATTCTGGTAGTTGTAGTAAAATGACGTCATCGTGCAATTGTCCTATTAACAATGGTACTTTTGATTAGCAAACATCAACTTTACGTGCATCGCGCCTTTTTTTTTTCTTTTTGTTTTCAAAAAGCAAGTTGCACGTGCCAAGTTGATGCCTGCTTCACACGTTTTTAAAAAATAGGAAGCTTAATTGCTTTGCTAAGCTTAATAAAAAATAGGAAGCTTAATTGACCACCGCGGCAGGGACAAAAAGAACAACTGCAACAATTAACAATGGTACTTTTGATTAGCAAACATCAACTTTACGTGCAGCGCGCCTTTTTTTTTTCTTTTTGTTTTCAAAAAGCAAGTTGCACGTGCCAAGTTGATGCCTGCTTCACACGTGGAAATGATGATCGTGCGGTTCCCGATATACCTGAATCCTTGTTCTCTGAAATATAAGAGGCAATGTTTCAGATCACCCAATCGGCAGTTGTGAAAGGTGAAAAAATGTAACAAGTTATTTTTAAAGTATCTGCTCAGGCTCTTTTTACTGCATGCTGTTTACTAGCCTGCGTTGCAGCTGGCCCACGCATCGTCGAAGCCCGGGGGGTACTTCCTTATAAGGGCTTAATGGCATTTTTTGTCTTAATCAGGGTATCGATTTATCAATTTTTGTCTTAAACAGGATAAATGTCTTAAACAGGGTATCAAAAATCGGAATTCTGTCTTAAACAGGGTAGGAAAATCAGCGATATTTGTCTTAAACAGGGTCAGGGTATGAGGGGCCGCGCCGCACCTCCCCACCCAGGGATATATCGAGTACCCCTCCGGTCGTCGAAGCCATTTGACTGTATAGACTATACAGAAAGTTTAGAGTGCCTGCGACGCAGTCTAGCCGTTTACAAACCTTGTTGTTTACAGTAAAATATCGGAAACCATAGTTCTCTCTGGGGACTTGGTAATAAATAAACTATTCACCGTTTTTACATTGACCATAACGCACCTTGTTTACCCCCAAAAACTTTGCATGACCATTGTTTTTTTATTTCTCTTGTGACGACTGTAATACCCTGGAGAAATTGGAAACAATGATTATGCAAAATTCTGCAGTATGGACAATGTGAAAGTTGTGAATTTCCATCACACCGCGAAAAGCTCGTGAGTATTCCGTACGTGTCTGTGGAATGTGGGTTTGTTATGAAAGGCCAGTGTCTCTTCCTAATAACGTGCTCAATCATTTCGGTGTTTCGTACACTTCTCTCCGCGCCTCCGGCTCTCGCCTTCTTTGCTGCCCCCTTCTCTCATGAATTAAAGGCTCCAGTGTGGTCCCTCAGATGTGCAATATTCACACGATGCTTAAGCTGCCGACGTTAGTCTACGTTTTGCAAGTTGGCCGCCCTTTGCCTGTTCCGTCAAACTTTTGTCGATGCTCATTGGGTTCTGCACTTGTAAGGTAAGAAATATTTTGACGCTTATAAGCTTGTTTTCGGTTTGTCGTTGGCTTATGGAGTTACAAGTGTCTACCGTGCTGCCTCTCTCCTTTCAGCAAGTTGGATTTTGCTTTTGTCTAGAGTTAACGGTTGTCATAAACAGAAGCATGTTTTGGCGAGCGAACGCGCGAGCGAGCGGCGAAGCCGCTTGAGGGGCAGAGGTCCTTCCGCGCCCCTCGCCCCTGCGTCTCCTTTCGCATGCGGCTCTCGCGTGATTCTCGCGACTCTCCCAAATGGAGAGCTTGCTCGCAGGCATTTCTCAAGCATTCATATATTCGTCTAGCTCTAGTTTTAAGCAAACAGTAGTTTATCTCTGTAGTATTTAAGTCAGTTTGTCTAGCAGAAGCACTTCGTAGTGAGGACGTTCGAAAACGTCGAACGTCGTCGTACTTTTTAACATTTTTAAAAATTTCTTAAAATAAGTTTTTAAGAAAAGTTTTTTCGCAATATTTTAGAGCTAGTTTTTTTTATAAAGTCCCTATTCAGTTTTGAACCAAATTGCGTAACAAATGGTAACAAAAGCAGTTGAACGCAGGCTAATCAAATCAGTTTTCTATCTCGCAATCGGCCAAAGCAAACCCCCTCTTTTCGTAATTTCCAGAGCTCATGATTGTCTTGATATTAGCCAATTTAGTCGATAGCATGTTATTTCACTTTTTTATGACCCTTAAAACTTCGTTTCCAAGTATTTCCAAATTTGCCATAATAGGCCATTCTACAGTTGTGTGCTCAGTGCCCTGGCCTTTGAATAGACGCGAGGCTGGCGGTGACCTTGTTTTGCTACAAACCTTCTTGTTTTTCATATGTAAATGCTCATGTTCACGGGCTTGTTAGCATGAGAATATCACGATTTGCACTTGAAAAGCCGGCAGGTTTGTAACAAAACAAGGTCACCGCCACCCTCGCGTCTATTCAAAGGCCAGGGCACTAAGCACACAACTGTAAAATGGCCTATTAAGACAACTAGCAGGGTCATAGGAACCCCGACCCACTCCCCCCCCGCCCATAACTTTTCCAATGATTCATCCCTTACATGAACCGAACCTATTTATAGCGCGTGCTGGTTATGTTTTTAAATCGCGTTTTTTAGCACGAACGATTTAAGGTGGCTCGACTGGATGTTTTAGGGAGTGTACTTCTCCACTTTGCGCATTGCGCATTTACTGCGTCGGCATCGACAAAAATATAGGGAAAAAGTTGCCACAGCTGTACTAAACAATGTTTTATTGACATCGGAGTTTGCCTTGGCAACGAAATGACGCCATTACCTTTTACGTAATAAATCCAGTCGAGCCACCTGACCGATTTCTATGATTATTAGCATCCTTAATAAAGAATAGTGGAACTCAAAGAAAATGTTTAGATGTAGGCATATATTTGAAACGACATTTTTCGTCAAGAACTTCGAGATCCTACGACAGATTTTTCCCTAACTTCAGCAGGTAAGCCTCAGAACTCCCTTCTTTTACATCCGGCGGCAATTTTTAAGTCAATCGTAACCATACAACTCGCTGCACAAATGCTGGTCAAATTTAAGGTGCAATGCCCGAGCCTATTTATATGCATATT